GATACAAACATCCTTGATGGGATTGTAGTGGAATCCCCTGGTGTGTTTCTAACTCCACCATTTGGGGTAAGTCCGATTGAGCATGTCCCAAATTGTACATCTCCTCCCTCTCTTATTCCCACTCTTATATTTAACAGGGATCACTTTTCAATTAAATTTAAACATCTAAGAATAATTGTGTGTTGATTACAGAGTTCAACCAATAGTACTGGAAAAAAAATACTAAAAGGGATAAAGTGTTATATTATACATCAACAGTCAGGACAAGGGCTGAACAAGTCACTGTTTCTCATAGTGTCCATTTCACTTCAACAGGTTTCCCCTTTGGTGCTCAGTTAGTTGTCGCCGATCAGGGAGAACATATGGTATTTGTCCCTTTGGGACTGGCTTAATTCACTCAGCATAATGTTTTCCAGATTCCTCCATTTTGTTGCAAATGACCAGACTTCATTGTTTTTACTGCTGTATAGTATTCTATAGAGTACATGTCCCATAATTTCCTTATCCAGTCTACTGTTGATGGGCATTTGAGTTGGTTCCAGGTCTTAGCTATTTTGAATTGAGATGCAATAAACATTAATGTGCAGACAGCTTTTTTATGTACCAATGCCATCTCACTACTCCAAGTGATCAATTTCAGTTCAAAGTTGATCACACTGATAGGTCTAAGAGTCAAAGGGATCACACAAACAAGAATAGTGTCTGCTAATACTAACTGATAGAATAAAAAAGGGAGAGAACGATCCAACATGGGAAGCAGACTCATAGAATGGCAGATGTCCTAAATAGCACTTTGGCCTCAGAATCAGCCCTTAAGGCATTCAGATCTGGCTGAAGAGGCCATGAGAGTATTTTAGGCATGGAAAGCCAAGACACTCTGGCAAAAAGAAAAAAAAAAGTAGAAGAAGAAGACCTAAATGAAAGATCTCTGCGAGTGAGATCCCAGTGGAAAGAACAGGGCCATCAAAGAAGGAGGTACCTTTCTCTGAAGGGAGGAGAGAACTTCCGCTTTGACTATGACCTTGTCTGAATAAGATCAGAGTTGGTGAACTCAAAAGGCTTCCATAGCCTTGGCAACTCACGACTAGATCCTAGAGAGATTACTGATGCCATAAACAAGAGTGTCAAATTGTTAAGTCAACAAGAGGAGTCACTGTGTACTTACTCCTCATGTGTGATCTGTCCTTAATGTGTTGTCCAATGTGAAGTAATTCTATAACTAGTACTGAAACAGTATTTTACACTTTGTGTTTCTGTGTGGGTGCAAACTGATGAAATCTTTACTTAATATATACTAAATTGATCTTCTGTATATAAATATGATTGAAGATGTATCTTGATGTGAATGGAATGGGAGAGGGAGTGGAGATGGGAGGGGTGCGAGTGGGAGGGAAGTTATGGGGGGGAAAGCCATTGTAATCCATAAACTGTACTTTGGAAATTTATATTTACTAAATAAAAGTTAGATAAGCTAATCCAGCCTAAATCAGAATTAGAGCCCAGATCTACCTGATTATGAAGATCATATTTTTAAGCAGTATGACATGTTTCTCAAAGAAATCTTACTGTAAAATTGCAATCCACTAAATAAGAAATAGGTTAGTTTTATCCAGAATTGTTATTCATCATGCCAGTTGATGAAGTCAATATTTGTGTGTGTTGAAGTATTGCACTATGTCCCATCCCGTAAAGTTGTGCAAGTATGGCATATTAATCCAAAATTAAAGAAAAATAAATTATATGTTTAGAAAAACATTATACTTAGTGAAATGAACCAGTCCCCCCCCCCAAAAAAAAACCCAGATACCAAATGTTTTCCCTGATCTGTGGTAACCAGTAGAGTATCTAAAATGTAATACACTGGAATGAAATTGACATTTTGGGATTCAATGGTTGTTTATAGTCCTTGTCTCTACTGTTGAGGAGCAGTGGTTTTTTTTTTTTTTCATACTATTTGCTTAATTCTTTACTTAGTGTAGGGTTAAAATATGAGTATAAAGTAAACTGAAAATAGATCTTTGTAAAAAGTTTAGGAGTGGGAATAGGAGAGGGAGGAGAAAGAAGAGTGAAAGCATAGGCAGCAGGGAGGGTAGGATAGGGAGTATCACTATGTTCCTAAATCTGTACATATGAAATACATGAAATTTGTATACCTTAAATAAAATAAAAAAATAAAAAAGAGTCACTTAACTCAGGAAGACTATTTTGAGTACCTTAAAAAATAGAAAAGCAGTCAATCAAATCTATTAAGTGATTTCACAAAAGTATATCTGTGTTTCATGAGATTATTTTAGAATTATTTTACTGTTATTTTTGTTTAAAACTGTATTAATACTATTCTTATATGTGTGGAATGAGTTAAGTCACAAACTTATGCTACTCTAGAGCTAAGTAATCCTTTTGGGTCAGTTTTTAATATTTAACATAATGTAGTAGTATCATAGTACTCATTTTGAGGAATTATTAGAATGAGAGAATTTGAGAAGGAAGGATGACAGGGAGGAAAGAGGAGAGAAGGAAAAACATAAATGAGGGAAGGAAGAAGAAAAGAAAAAGTTATTAACTATATTCATGGGAGCATGCACAATTGTCTTTTGTTTGTGTCTCAATGGTGTACCCATCCCATTTGCTCTTTGTAAAAATTTAAAAAAAATTCTTTTTATTTTCTCTTGATTGTCCAAAACTTCTAGAGTTTTCTTAATAAGGTATACTAGTGTAATTTAATCTGTAGCTTTTACATCATCTTATTAACAATTGAATTTTACTAAATACAAGTGAAGGAAAAAAATAAATAAAAAAGATAATTAATAAGGAAAGGAACTAGTAAAAGGAAAAGGAGGAAGGAATGAAGGATGAGAAGAGTTATTGAAGGAAAAAGAGAAAGAAAGGAGTGGAAAATTTGGGGAAAAAAACAATGGAGAAGCAGTTTAGAGAATTTCAGCTAGACCTATGCATTTCAAAGCAAAACTTTCTGAATCCATGCTTTAACCACAAGCCTTGAAATGTAGTTGAGCTGGAAAACAGTCTCCATTCTGACATTTCTCCAAATATTTTACTGCTGACTATACTGCCTTGTGCATGGGATCCCTCTGAGTTCCAACCCATGTTTCAAAGCAAACCTGGAAGCATTGGTTTTCCGTTTCCATAAGAAATGAAGGGTTCTTGCCTTATGTTAGACAGACATGGAAGAGCTCGTCTCACAAATACATACTGCCAAGGATATGTGAGTTTTACACTGCTGCTTGGAGGCCAGCTTGTTTATGTCTCTCTTGGTCCTACTCCAATGTGATCTCAGACATCATGACAGGGATTCTATATCACTCCATTGAAAGTGGTCCTCATTAAGTAAACCCTAGAAGAGTCTGCAGGCTGGAATAAAAAATGCCTTGGTCTGTCTTGGGGATTCTGCAGAGGGGAGGAATGTTGGACTTTTCCATCTAAAGTTTAATGTCCAGCTTTCAAGATAATTTATGTATCCTATAAACCCTCTTGAATTCTCCTTGAAAATTGACTACATATACTGTTTATCTGGAAAAATCTGCATTGCCATTTCTGTCCAATTGCAATATTTCTAAAGACAATGATTTACTATCTGTTTTATATTGAAGAAAATCATAAAGCGTATCTATTGCTCACAGAGAAGATTGTATTGTCAGCATTTCTGTCATATCATTCATTAGTAGACTGGAAAGAACAAGTTCAAGTCATTTATATTTGTCCGAGCTTAATTGTTTATAATGTGAAGTTAAAATCAGCCACAGAAAGTGTTTTTATTTAACTGTGATTACTAGATAATTGTGAAATAGAAATCTTAGCATTTTAAAGCACTTAAAAGGGAATTATCAAGGTATACAATCTTTACTTTTTGCTAAGAGGAAGGAGGGTACATATAACATTGAGCCATCACTACAAATGAAGGAAGTTGGTCATGCTTCTCTTAGGGTAGCCAATGATTTTTCATTATGAACAATATATTCAGCCGGCACTGTGGCTCAATATGCTAATCTACTGCCTGTGGCGCCGGCACACCGGGTTCTACTCCGGTCAGGGCGCTGGACTCTGTCCTGGTTGCCCCTCTTCCAGTCCAGCTCTCTGCTGTGGCCAGGAAGTGCAGTGGAGGATGGCCCAAGTGCTTGGGCCCTGCACCTGCTTGGGAGACCAGGAAAAGCACCTGGCTCCTGGCTTCAGATCAGTGCGGTGCGCTGGCCGCAGCTGCCATTGAGGGAGTGAACCAACAGAAAAAGAAAGGCCTTTCTCTCTCTCTCTCTCTCTCTCTCTCTGTCCACTCTGCCTGTCAAAAAAATTAAAATTAAAAAAAATATATTCATCCTACTCACATATTTGGGATTACATAAATGTTCTCAGAAAAATTAACACTAATCTTCCAATTTCATAGTCATATACAATTATGTAAAATAATTACTCTAGATACCATTGTATCTTAGAGACAGTAGTGGCCTGGAACTCAATGGATGGCTTAAGAAAGCAATAGAAAATTCTATGGTAAGGGAATATACTCTTTAGCCTTCAGACTCAAACTATTCATTCACAAAAATTCCCATAGTCAGTTGACTGTGATACATGTTAGATATTTCAAATTTGATGCAATTTGTTTACATTTTCATAGTGCTGGTTTTTTTTTTTCTTTTTTTTCTTCCAAACAGTAAGCAGTTGGATTTTTCACTAGATCCTTCTCTAAAGAGATTTATGACCTAACACCTGTTCCCAGGATCAGGTCTTCCTATTTGACTCTGTACCTTCCCCAGGACATCTGCTTTGGAGTTTCTATGCTGTTCACACCCTTGACCCTACTCTCCTAAGAAAATTTTATGGCCTGTATGTCACATTTCTGGCCTAGTCTCTCTTTGGAAATGGATAATCACATTTGTCCATTTTAATTTTATCTGTTATAGCACCTAAGGTTTACTTTTGGGCAGATGATGTCCCTGTGCTTCATAGATGTTGATTCAACCATCAGAGTACTCATATTTCCCCATTTTTGATTAGTGAGGTAGTGAGTAAGAAACTTATCCGACACTCTATCTTGTTTGTAACACTGGGATTTGAACTCAGGGAGATTGACTTTAGTCTCTACTCTTAATGGCATGGGATGCTCTCACCCAATCATCCCACAGCCATCATTTTCTCTGAGAAACATTCTTTGTTCTCAGGCTGGGATAACTGTTTTGTTTTGTTTTCCACATGTGCTCTGACCATCCCTTGTGTTCATGCCCTGATATGGTACTTACCACTATGCTGTAATCACCGATCTCTTTATCAGTTTCCATAAACAAGTGGTGAGCTACTTGAGAGAAGGCACTGTTTTTTTTAATTTATTTTCTTCTTCACTCAATTACGGCATATGGGAAACCTTCAGTAAATATTGAAAGAATGGATGAAGTAGTTGGCTGGATCACATCTCTCTATATTCTGCTTCTGTAAATTGACTGGCTCATAGTAAAAACATTAAGTGCACACTTCGTTTAGAAGTCTCTTCCTGCTTTTGTAAGTATTTTATTTTGTTCTTGAACAGTATGCACCATATAAATGAAACCTTATTTAATCATCAGACATTTATTAAGTGTATATTATTTGCCCGATGTTATTCTAGGCCCTATTAGCATCTATGAACAAGACAGACAAAACCACTGTTCTTCAGAAGCTGGTTGGATTGTTTTGGCAGCATAATCTGCTAGGGAGTTTAGGAACCAGGGTGTATTACTATGCTGTTCTCTTGGGTTTAATACCTATAGAAGGAAGGTTAAGAAATCAGGGTTGGACAGAGGAGAAAACTGAACTATAGTGTAAGTCCCTCAATAGTCTGAGGTTAAAATGGTTTGCCACAGTTGTCTCAGTTGAAGTGGATAGGTGTAGACCCACCTGCCATGATGAATAATTGTATCTGAGCTCTCCCAAGAAGGGGTTGATCTTGGGAAAAGTGGTTATCTGCAGCTGAGACATTCCTCAAGGGGCAGACAGCTGAAGGCTATCTGATGAGAGGAGGAGAATTTGATGGTACATCACCAGCTGCACTATATAACATGCTACATGCTGAATATCACATAGTTCCACTATAGTCATACTTTATTTCTTTTCACTGAAAAGTCACTTTTATTGAGTTCCAACCAGCTGCACAATCTGTTCCTAACATTAAACTCCTTCCTTCGCAACTTGGTCTTTCTGAAGTGATTCCATGAAAGTCTTGCTTTCCTCTACAGTCTGGAAGTGGTGATGGCCAAACCTGGAGGTGGTGTTGATGAACTTAAGGTCAATCTTATAGACCTGCTGTTTGGTCTGTATCTGTTGATACAGATACAGGGTGTTGATAGATACAGACCAAACAGCAGACGATCAGCATTTGATACTTGGTCCCCACCACACAGCATTTCAGCATGACAAAGTCATTGGTCACTTCATCATAATGGACAGAGTCATCCAGAAGGTTGATGCTTTTGTTGGACAGGTTATAGTTGGTAGAAACATTATTCTTGATCAGGTTGCTGTCCTTGATCAAGTAGCCCTGCCCAATCTTGCAAGTCTTCTTGCTGATTTATGTGTGTTGATGAAGTCTTTCTGTCCAGTCTGTGACACAGAGTAGGCTACTCCAGTCATTCTAGTGTTCAGTTCAGTCTCTCAGCTATGGTGCCTCGATCTCCATCACATGGGCTTTCTTCTGCCATAGAGGAAACAGGTACGTCTGGGTGTGGGTGATTATGCTGGCGACCCGGTATTATTTCCCTCATGTTCCATGCTGTTGAAGTCCTTCTTCAACTGCTCCTTCTGAAGTCATCCTACCATTTCTTGAAATGCTTGGTGAAGGACTTCTTTTTCAATTTATGCCAGTTCTTGTAAAAGTGCCTTTTGCACTCATCAATGATACACTTGGCAAAGATGGTCTTAAAGGTCTGTTGGCTTCAAGCAGCTTCCATGTAACCCATAATGCCTACAACCACCATGGGTGGTGTCTCCACAGTGGTCATACCTCCACAACTTCCTTCTGGTTCACCTTGAATCTGAGCATATCAAATATTCACAGATGTGAGTCATGTTGGTCTTGTAGCCCAGGAAGGCTGTGAGGTACACAGGCTTGGAAATTTACTTACCTGTGAGGTCTATTGCTGTGATTCTGAGGCATGAAGCCCAGGATCCCATGTCTGGGAACAGAGAACTTCCAGTGAGATCCTGCTTCTAAATCTGCTGTGGAACCAATATAGTCATAATTAAAGAATATAAGCCCAAGCCCTGCATCTCTGTGTTTTTGTTGTTTATAGCAACAAATGTTATCCAAAAATGTCAGAGAAAGGTGATCAAGTTTATTATGTTTTGAGAAACAAGAGAGTATTTCAATGTTGATTATTATATAGAAAATTACAGCTAATATAGAATAAATGTGATGAGTTAAATTATTATTAATAATAATTTATTATTTTAAACTGCAATTTTAAATAATTGGGTGCTTTCAATCTCTTTTTAAAGGTGGTATGGAAAGCATCACATTTCTATTAGTTGCAATCCCCTATATAATAATCAATATCATTCCTGGGACTAATATATACACATTGACCATTTGTACTGATATTTTTGGGACAAACCATTGTCAGTTTTTAATCACTCTTTAATCATCTGCTCAGGAGAGTGAAATGTTCCCATGTTTACATCTATCAGGAAATCTGTGCCCCTTCCTGAATTTACTTTGCTCCTTTCTTCCATTTTCCCATACCCTTTCTGCCTTATGTTCCACTTTCCCTTCCTCTCCAATTGTTTCTCTCTCCCTCTTTCTCACTCTCCCTACTCCAAAAACACACACACAGCATTTATTGAACACATCATAGTGTCACCCTATATTAAAAGTCACTAAGATGTGATTCTTGGCCTGCAGTTCTCAAAGGAAGTGATCTCTATCAGCATGATGAAGCCGAAAATTTCAGCCTTGAATTCACCTGATCTCAAAGAACTTTCTCTTTAACAATGGTAAATCTCCATACACCAAAGACATTGATTTCCAAGATCATATTATCTTTGAATCATCAGAGAAAGAACTCAACCTTTCACCTGACTCAGTGCCAGAAATGAGATCTGAAGGAGTCCACAGGTATTCTTTGAGGACAAGAAGGGACGACTCACCTTCAGTTTCTCTTGTTAATCATCTTCCCTTTGACTGTGGTGACTGATGAGGTAAATTCCCTCAGCAAGCTGAGGCAATAGTTTCCAAAGGAAAGTAAGTTTTGTTTTGTATTTGCTCCTCCTCATCATCAAGCTGTGCTTACGTTCCCAGCCCCAATCTGCCCACAAACGGCCATCTGGCCCACAGCTGCTGTGTCCAGCTGGAAACACTGCTGCATGAGCAGTCCAAGGGCTCCTTTTACTTCTTGTAAATGACAATCTCTGCGTTGTAGGTTGCCCCTCCCTTCAACTGGAAAGGCAACAACTGTCATTTTATTTAATTTTTCTTTTCATGCATGGTTGTTTACAATGGGAACACATATGTCAGGCATATGGCAGGCGAAATGGTGGGCTTAAACTTTGAGCATGACCAGTTGCATTTCATCGGCTCTAAGAGTACAGTTCTCAGGGAAAAGCTTAAAGGTTGAAGTGGCGAGGTTAGCGTTGTGGACTCCAGCCAGAAGCATGCTCATTTATTTGGTCAGGAGAGCCTGCTGGTTGAGTGCTAACGGTGCTAGAAAATAACCTTCCCTTTATCCTTTTTTTTTCCATTCTTTCCCTAACCAAGCTTGCTGATAAGATTAGGATTAACAATAATTAATGTTTATAGAGTGCTTATTATGTCCTTGGCACAGTGCTGAGTGGTTTGTAAGGATTATCTTATTAAATACTCTTGACCACCCTATGAAGTGGATATAAACATTACTCCAATCCAAAATTTCAAAATTGGAATTTCTAAGAAAGAAAGTCACTTGTCCGAGGCCACATAGCTTGTTCAGCACACTGCCCTGTGTTTGCTAAATGGTAGGATTATTGTCAACTGCTTGAGGACAGGAACTATGAATTGTCTAGCAACGGTAGTTCAATATCTGGCATAGAACCTCCCTCAGAGAAGATACTAAAAAATGATAGATATCAAATAAAAGTATAAAAATGCTTGCACTTTACAGTAGAAGGTTATTTGTTTTCTCCTCTAAAAACCATGAATCTCTCTAAGCAGCTTTACTGGAAGCTATCTACCCTTAGGGATATGGTAGAGAAAAATACCACCATTATGCTGATCACTCCTGGAACTATTATCACTCATACACAATCTGCCCCTTCTTGCTTTAAGACAGATTACAAATAACGTTGTCTTAAACCTGCCTTCAAATGTTCCTGGAGTCAGGTTGTTTACTGCTTTAACACACCCTCTGTGTTCCACCTATTCAGTCTTATCTATCTCCAAAATCCAGCGGATACGTTATCAACTCCAGAAAGGATTCACAGGTTCCTTGTTTCCCTTTTGTTCTTGTGGTGTTCAGACTCTTGAACATCAAAAGATAATGACAGAAACCCAGCAGATGATGTGTAGAAGCTGAGGGCTGAGAAGCTGAGTATAGAGAGCTTGGCACACAGACTCAGTTTTTTATTCTGGACAGTCCCTGGAATATTGGTTAACAATGACTCTTTGGTCCAGGCTTTGGGACCAGACTTTTGGTCTCATATCCTTCATGGCTGCCATACCATTCTTTCCTCAGCTTCTCATCTGTAGGTGTCCAACTGTGATCATGATAAAGACACAGACTTATAATGGAACTATTTCCTCACATTGAAATATTAAACAGTATTCTAACTGACATGTACACATTCAATCTGTTCCAGGTAGTTTACTTGCAAAATAGTATGAGTCTGGTAACCAAAGAGCAGGGCTAGTCTAAATTGAAACAGAATATATCAGTTTCTTAGGTTGGAATTTTAGGGCTCCTATGGAGGTCTTTCTTCCTCAATCATTTTCCCTTTTTGCTGCTTCCTAAAAATCCACTCAGTAATTCCATTTGGTTATACTTGGCTCTGTATATGGAGTCAAAATTTGATGCCCAAATATTTTATCTTTAGGAGCTTTCCTTCCAGGCAGTGTATTCATCTGGAAACTCAAGCTATTAGACTGGTTGTGAGTTTTGCTTTGTTCTCTTATTTGGCCCATTGCATGTTTAGAACTAGGGTCAGAGTAACCTCAAATTACCTGTTATTTGTTCAGAGCACCATAGCTGGCAAAATGGTTTTAGAGGCCCTCTCTTGGGCCTTAAAACTTCCCTACAAGGGATAAGACTTTCAATTTATTTTGCAAATGAAGAAATCAAGACTTAAAGAGATGGAACTTCTGACCCAAGGTCTCCCAACTGGTAAATGAAAGGCTGTTGTGTTGTAGTTCCCCATGCTTTTCCAAGCATATATTTCCCATTCTTCACACTCACTCATGCAGTGTAAACCGCATCGGAATTACCTGGGGTCTTATTAAGATCATCAGTGTCAAAGCTGCACCCTAACTGATTCTAGGTTCACTGGAATGGGTGGGGCCTAGCCTGGTATTTTTTATATTCTTTATTTCTATTATATGAACCAATAATCTGTAATTTATTTTCATGGTACCACAAGTAATACAAATATTAGTGATTTCTTTGTAGCAGTTATTAAGAAGACAGACTAATTAAACCATTGAATCCCTGGAGAAGTCAATTTTCTGTGGATAAATAGGCTTTAAATTCCTATTTTCTGTTATTCCAGCAGACAGTTTTCTTGCCAGACTACATACAGCCCCAGGAAAAATTAAAGGTTAAGGTTATCTCTTAACTTGCCAACTGTTGGTATTTGACATTCTGTTTGTGCTCCTCCAATTGCTCTGTCATGGAAATAGTATTTATAAGAGCTATCACCAGCTCACTTTAATATCTCACCCGCTGCCTGGAGGCAGAGTGTTAACTAGTTTACAGTTTATCCTTTCTTAGATTTATGGTGAAAACACATTTTCCAATGAACACATTCCTGTCTTTCTCTGGGGTTCCAGGATAACACTTCAGATGTGATCAGTGGCTTAGACCCAGAGCACAATCTGCTAGCTCCAGCACAGTTTGCTAAGCAGTACAGGCAAGTTTGCAGAGCCTCCCCCAGTGCAGGTTCCTTCAAGCTCACCTGAAATTGAGTCTAATTACTTTTTCAGGTATCTCATTTTGAGTACAAGGATGAGGTCAATTCTCTGCTCTGGGTCTTTAGTGGAAGGTGACTCTGCTGCGAAAATTATAGGGAAAAGTAAAGGGAGGGAAAAATGGAGAGAGAGGCCGGCGCTGCGGCTCACTAGGCTAATCCTCTGCCTGCGGCGCCAACACACTGGGTTCTAGTCCCGGTTGGGGCACTGGATTCTGTCCCGGTTGCTCCTCTTCCAGGCCAGCTCTCTGCTGTGGCCCGGGAGTGCAGTGGAGGATGGCCCAAGTACTTGGAACCTGCATGTGCATGGGAGACCAAGAGGAAGCACCTGGTTTCTGGCTTTGGATCGGCGCAGCATGCTGGCCATATGGCTATTTGGGGGGTGAACCAACGGAAGGAAGACCTTTCTCTCTGTCTCCCTCTCTCTCACTGTCTAACTCTGCCTGTCAAAAAAAAAAAAAAAAAAAAAGAGAGAGAATTCTGAGTAGTTAAAACTCAGTGAATGTGAGACTTCCATTAATCAGAACTCCAATTTTAGTAGGAAGAAATAAACCTTGACAAGACCACTTTTTTTTTTTTTTTGCAAAGGCAATTATAAAAAATTAAAACAAAATAAAAAACTTTCCTGATTATGTCATGGGTACTGTTAGATTGCAAGTTAGGGAGGTTCTTTATTCATCTTTACTCCTTTTTAACTAACACTCTGCCTGAAATACATTCAGACTTAATACATTTGGGTTCTTTTGTTTGTTTGTTACTACATTAATTTTGTATTTCTATCACCTAAACATATAGTTATTTTTTTGTTATAATTTAAATTTTTAAAACCATCAAGTCAATGATATTTTCATGTCTTAAAATGAAAAATTGTCAAATGAATTTTGACAATTCTGAAATTTTTTATTTCTAAATAATATAAGAATACTGGATTTTCTTCACTTGTAGATTTTATAGATTATTAATCAACTTAGTGTTAACTTTAGAGATTATCTCATAGCCTATTTTGGTAGTTGATGATTTAAGTTATGTGTAATCTTTATGTTTAATCTCCATTCCCCCAACTTTTTAGTCTCTATCCTTTGAATATAACTGTTGCACAACTTGGTTAAATGAATAAATCATTTACCTTATTACATCTAAGTTTCTTTGCTACTAAGCCAGATAATGTACGATGATTATGTTTTCTTTATTACATGCTTTGCTTTTTTCCTCAGGTTAACTACCTGTTTTATGCTTATTTCTTTTTATTTATTAAAATTCCTATTAAATTTTCAATCATGCCTTTAAAATACAACACAGTTTCAATATTTTTTCACATATGTTGATATATGTATCATATGTACCAAGTAGTTTCTTAGTTCCTTGTTGATGTTTTTCTCTTAGATGCCTCATCTTTGCTCAGATCTGGATGACCTGTTCTATAGAAATGGCTCAGTTGCTATCATTCTGATTGCGCTAAGAAGCCCTTGCAAGGGTCCCTAAAGATCCGCTCCTCTTGGTGCTCCTGCTTTTGTGCATTCTCGTCCTTTCGGGTGCAGTCTGAAATTATTCACTCCATCTAACAAATCACACATGGCAGAAGTGATGGGATATCTCTTTCTGAATCAAGGTTATGGTTTCTAAACTGGGAACTTTGCGGTCACTGGTCTTTCCCTCTCTCTGTTTCAGTTTCTCAGTTCGGCAGTGATGTTGACAGACTTAATGTAGCAGTCATCTGCTAATATGAGCCTACAGGCTGCCTCCATGCCCATCCCAATTTAGACTTAAGACTGCGGTCCTGGCACCCTATCTTCTATCTTGACTCACCTACTTATTTGTTCAAGAAAATTACTGCTAAGGAGGAATGGGAAGGTAAGTTTTTGGTTTTTTTGTGTTGGATCTTCTCTGAACCCAGATATTCTAACACTGACAACACTGGGCTTTAGGATATTTGATATTACTCCAGTCAAAATGCCAGGTAAAACTTGACATTGAGACAGTGCATGCACACACATGGGAATGACATATAAGTGATGGTGCACTCTGACTGGGTGGTTCCTATGATAGATACTATAATGTGCCATCCAGTTCCCCTTCAGGAATGAAACACTCAGTACCAGTTGTGGGAGGAACTACTGGATGACAGCCTTCAGCAGAGATCTCTCTGCACTGGGCTGAAAAAAATTGCCACACAATACTCATATCCCCTTCCAGGAAAAACCCACAATCAATGACTGATTAACTCTGGATGTATGGGCCTATCTTCTTCCTTCAGTTAGGGATGATTCTGAAGGGAAATTCCAACTCCA